GGCAGAAATTCCTACTCGGCGGGCGGGGTGGGGGAGGTACTGTGTAGTGGTGGGGGGCGTCCAAAGGGGGTGGAAGAGGTTCTCAGCCACGCTGCTCCTGTGCTGGGATGAGTAGTCAGTCCTGCAGGTGCAGGGTAGCCGGAAGCTCTCCCACACACTCACCGGACCTGGGCTAGGACTGGGTCCTGAAAATGCTTTTAAAAGCAATAAATTATTTTATAGCATTTTGTTTGATATGCATAAAATAAATTATATTGTACAAATGATTTGTTTTTTTATCCCATTCAAATTAATGTAGCTAATTAGGTTATTTTATTTATTCATTTATTTCTTTATTATATTTAGTATAGGGTTTGTAGGGTCTCACTCCACAGATCAGACTCATAGTGATCCTCCTGTTTTCAGCCTCCCAAGCCGTGTGATTATAGGCACTTGCCACCCTGCCCAGTTTCAGTCGCGGTCTCAGCAGGCCCCGGGCGTGGGGCCTGCACAGCATGCTGGGGCTTGAACCCCAGGTCCCTTAGTCCACTGAGCTATCTGGCCGGTCCTAGGTTAAATTATTTTTTAAATTTCTGTTTCTATGGTACTGGGTTTCTGTTGTTGGATGGCATATAAAACATTATGTTTGATTGAACATAGAATTTTGGTAAGGTTAAAAAGCCTAAGTTTACTCTTTCATTTGATTGAAAAGAAACTTATAAATATATATGAAAGCAATAAATAAGGGAGTAAAAGTCTGTTGGATGAATTTCACCCACTTAGAAATACTGTTGGGAGAGGAATGGAAGGGAAAGACAGAAAAAGTAGATAAAGTGGATGTCCAGTATGCTAGGGTTAGAGCTGAAAGGTAAAATACTTTTGATAAAGCACCAAAGCACAGAAAGGCAGGACTGTACAAAGCTCAGTGGGTTGTAGGTTGACTGCCTTTACCCACCTTTCTGTTGGACCTCCTGCCACCGCTGGGAACATGCATAGCATCATCCCAGAAGAATGGCTTGCGCTTCAGTTTGCTGCTGCTGCTGCTGCTGCTGCTGCTGCTTCTGCTGCTTCTTCTTCTTCTTCTTCTTCTTCTTCTTCTTCTTCTTCTTCTTCTTCTTCTTCTTCTTTTTAAATTTATTGAGAAACAAATAGCAATGAGACAGTTTCAAAACCCATTAGTAGGACAGTTTCAATAATTAATACATTGCATATTATTGTCTTTTTAGTGGTTATTCACAGTACAAGATGCAGACATGATATCTTGTTCACAAACCCTATTAGAACAAATCTTTCTGTTCATTGAAGTAAGAGAAAGTAGCCGTATATCTATCCTATTTTGAATATAGAGATACAAAATGGTCCTTCATTTGAATCCCCTTTTTCTGTTTAGTTTTGTCTGAGATGGGTATTCCATTGTCATTTAAATATTGGAGGTGCATGAATTCAGCAAAATATTCCAATATAGTCCATTCGTCCATAATAGTAGTGGGTTATCTGTGTGACTGGAAATGTCAGAAGTTGTTGACTTGAGCCTTTTACAACTCAGCATATTAATACAGCTTTACTTTTAATACTTCGTGTTTGTACTTTTCTGATGGATGGTTAAGACCAAGATAAAACAAGACTTACATAACAAGAAATGTAACTTTGTATCTGACAAGGTCAGTCAAATCCTCTCAGGATTTACCCTGAAACCCCGTACCACAGTTTGTAGATTCTTTGTGAGTGTCAGCCAAGTGGATGAGTCACGTCCATTGCTTGACCAATTTGCTCTCTGTGAAAGCCTGAGAGAATGTTTTTTTTCATGTGACTC